GAGCCAGTCGGACTTCGCGCTCGTTCCGGCCTTAAGGAACTTGACGATAGGCGCGACAGCCTCATCGTCCCGATACGCCCTGCGTATCCGATCATATAGATCCGTTGTCACCCGCGTGATGTGGGCCAACTCATAGTCGGGACGCCGAGAGAGGGCGTCCGCAAGCACGTCGAGCTTGCCCGGCTTGTATTCGACGCGGAAGTTGTATTCCGCAAAGAAGAACAGCCACCTCGCCATCCTTTGGGAGAGGTGAGGCGAGTTAGTCGCCGTCCTCAAGGACGCGTGGTCTGTGTAGATCACAAAGGGCCTAGAGCCCAGAAGGTGAACACGGAACTTCACAAGGGCATATTTCATTGCCAGGAGCTCCTTGTCATGGACAGGGTAGTTCCGCTCGGCGGCTTTGAGCTGCCTGGACTGGAACGAGATGACTCGTTCGTGTCCGGCCGTGTCGGCTTGCAGCAATGCACGTAATCGGAGGCATCGCAGACGACGCTAAACGGCTTCGTCTCGTCCGGCAGGGCCAGGACAGGGGCCTCTTGGAGACTGGCCTTGATGCTGTCAAAAGCATCCTGGTGCTCTTGCTCCCAGCGCCAGTCGACGTCCTTCTGAAGGAGGCTCGACAAGGGCTTAGCGAAGCCCGCGTACCCAGCGCTGTACTTGTGAAGGTATTTGGTCAAGCCCAACCACTTTCGAAGATCCTTCTGGGATCGGGGCGCCGGCCATGCTGCTATGGCCTTGACCTTGTCTGGGTCAGCCCGAACGCCCACGTTGCTGACGAAGCAACCGAGAACTTTAATCTCTGGTGACGCGAAAACGCACTTGTCGATGTTGGCGTAGAGCTTGTTCGCTCGCAATACGTCCAACACTCGACGGAGGTGTCCTAGATGCACCTCCATGGCCGTCTTGCCTCCCTCGGCACAGCTATGGACGAAAATGTCGTCAAAGTACGTCTGTACGAAGGTACGCAAAGGGCGGAACAATTGCGTCACCAGGCGATTGAACGTCGCCGGGGCGTTAGACAAGCCCTGCGGCATGACGAGCCACTCCCAAAGCATGCCGCTTGGAGTGCTTACCGCGGTGAGCGGGATGTCACTCTCTCGCATCAGGATTTGGTAGTATCCGTCTACCAAATCCAGCGCACTGTACAGTACGCTCCCGGCCATGTTGTTCAACAACACATCCTTTCGTGGGATCGGTGTTTGGGCCGGCACCGTTGCGTTGTTCAGCTTGTTATAAGCGTGAACCAGACGCCACTTTCCGTTCGGCTTCCGAACGCAGAAAGTCGGCGTCGAGTGCGGGGATTTCGACTTTCGCACCATGCCTGCCTTCGCTTTCGCGGCGAAGAAGGCATCAATGACCTCTCACTGTTCGCGCGGGAGAGGCCATTGCCTCGTGACACAATACTTTGTGCCGGGCACGAGATCAATCTCGTGCCGTACGCCTCGATCCGGTGAAGGTTGGGTCGGTGGGTGGGTGTTTGTTCACCACGTCCGCATACTCCGTCACCAAAGGATACACCGGATCCTTGGGATTCTTGAGAATCTCAGAACCCAAGCGCGCCTGACGCTGCTTGTTCATGTCTTCCAGGACGTTCTCGTCCAAGACAGAGGAGGAGTTCAGCTCCTCCTGAGTGGTCTCAGGTCTCATGAGTACCATCTCAGCAATCTCTCCAGCCTTGAAGTTGGCCAGGAAAGACTCAGCCGTCATTTCCTCGAGGTTCAGTATCTCCGCAACCTCTGGCAACGGTTCCAAGTGGACACCAGATGCCTTGACTGGTAAACCTGTCTCGTCATCGAAGATGTGATAACACTCTTCCACCGGCCTTGTCGGAGGAGCCCGGGCCCTGGACTCCGAGTCGCTTCGATCGGAACGAAGTTCGGATCCGGCTTGAGGCGGCGGCGGTGTCTTTGCCGACGGCGTCTGTGACGGGGAGCTTTGCTGCCCACGTCTAGGGATGTCGTCGCTACGACATCCGAGGCACTCGTGGCCTCGTGTGATACTGTTGTTCCCACACAGGAAGCGTGTTCAACGCCTTCCTCTTCAGTTAAGGTCTGGGCGACCGCGTGTGGCACTGTGTTACTCACACAGGAAGCGTGTTCAACGCCTTCCTCTTCAGTTAAGGTCTGGGCGACCGCGTGTGGCACTGTGTTACCCACACAGGAAGCGTGTTCAACGCCTTCCTCTTCAGTTAAGGTCTGGGCGACCGTGAGTGGAACTCTGTTACCCACTCTGAACACGCTGTTCTCAGTGTTCATGACAGCTGCAGCTGTCTGCGGAACTAAGTTACCCGCCTGTGGACCTAAGTTACCCACTTGGCCGACGCCTCTTCTGGGCGCGGCCACCATCAAAACATCCTTGGAGTCGTCATATACGTCGACGACTCCCAAGCATCTGCCGGATGCTTTGGTACCCTAACAGCCCTCGCGGGCGCCCCGGGTCCTGACAGAGGTGGGAACATGACTCACCAATGCTCTGTCGGACTGCGCAGGGCGGCTGGCACTGATTGCCTTGCCTCGCCAGTCGATTCAGGGCTCGTGCTTCTCAAGCCAGGGCATGCCCAGGATCATATCATATGGATCCATATCGAGAGCAGTGAGCTGTTCGAGGCTGTCAAAGTCTTCAAACTTGACGGCCAGATCCACTTGGACGTTGGGAACAGTGACGACCCTTCCCGCCGGCCAGATCCACTTGGACGTTGGGGACAGTGACGACCCTTCCCGTCGGCCAGTCGCACTGACACCGTCCCGTTGCCCTTGCTTTCTCTCAAAGCATCGGACAACTTGTTGCTGTTACGAGCAACCGTCTGGCGGCGTGCGAAGTTCTTCGACGCCCCAGAATCGATCAAGCTTCTAAAGGGATGATCGTATCCCCGTACACATCCGTGTACTACGAGCAACCCGCCGCTGCTCTTCGCCGATTCGAGAGTGCGAAGACTCTCAGGGGCTAAGTCCCCGTGGTACGCGCCACCCGCGCACCCATCACGAAGACTTAGTTCTTCCCCAGTAGGGCGCCCCGCCCCTACTGGTTCCCGGCGTTCCCATGTCCCCGGGATCCTGGCTTCTGCCAGCGACCCTTGAGGACGGGCTTGGGGAAGGACCGTCTGCGGAGTCTTTCCGCGGGACAGTCGCGCTTGAAGTGGCCCATCTTCCCACAGCCGAAGCAGCGGATGTCACGCTGTTCGGCGGACCCGAGTTCCATGGGAACTGGTCCGTTGGGGCTTGTTCGACCGGGAGCCGACAAGGAGCTCCCAGGCCACGCTGAGGCCGGCGTACGCGCCTGGCGATGGCTGTACTCTTCTTGAAGAGCCACTTGAATCGCCTCTTCAAGGGTGCTTGCCTGCACCCGGAACAGCTGAGTGCGTGCGGGGCCCACTCGAAGGCCGTCCATGAACACAGTCATCTTGATGTGTTCATTGAGTGGGTTTCCCACTAGGGACGCCGTGAGCTCCCGTATCTCTTGCACATACTCGTGCAGTTCGCGCCTTCCTTGTTTACACGCGAGGAAGCGCGAACGCTGGCGGTACTCGTAGTTCGCCGGGAGGAATGCGGCTCGGAGCTGTTCGCACAGCTGAGCCCAGGATGTGAAACATCCAGGGGATGTTGCTATCCGAGTGTACACCCAACTCTTAGCACGACCGCTAAGGTTGGAGAGTGCAAAAGCAACACGCAGTTGCTCGGTCGAGATCAGAGCCGCGTCCATCGCGAGCTCTACTTCTCGGACCCAGAAGTAAAGGCTCTCGCCTTCCTTCCCTTTATACGGCTTTACCTTCAGCCGTATTGGCTTCGGGTGAGGCGGATTTGCTTCCGCCGCCGAAGCCTGCAGGTTCTCCCGCACATGCGCGATGAGGACCTGCTCGTACGCGTCGAATGCATTGACGCGCTCGAGCTGCTCAGCCGGTGTTGACACCACCAGGCTCTGCAGGGCCTCCATCCCGAAGATGCCTGCCATCTTCCGAACCGACTCGAACTGAGAGTCGTTCAAATGGGAGAAGTCGTTCCTATCCATGGCAACGAGCTTCGGAGGTTCATTAAGTCTACCCGCGATGGCGTGGATTGACTACAAGTGCTACCAAGTGTGACGGGGTCACACAGCACCTTGCGCAAGAGGAAGTTATCTTCCGAGAGTATACAAACTCTCAGTGAACGGCAGTTCACAGGTCCCCTCTTTTATTAAAGAGAGCGAAGTGACCCAAATAAGGTAGATTGTAAACTGAGTATATTTATAGGTAAATTAAGTTTGGGTCTAATACAAACTGTTAGTTACCTATAGAAATGCAATGTCATTTAACAATGGTTGGCCTTGAACGACCTTGGTACCTTGTACCAAATATCTCGGAGTATGACGTGTCATACTCCTGAAGTGTGAAGTGTCACACTTCATGTAACCAGGGTACACTTAGGGCTACGTACTTCGTTCCACCAGCACCGGTGGAGCGCTGTACTGGCTTTGGCACCGTTGTGGTGTCGAAAGCTCAAATCTGCGACTACTTTGCGTTTAATTTTACATGTACTCACCACCGGTGGAGATGCTCTAAGTCACCTATAGTAATGCATTGTCGTTGACCAATGGTTGGCTTTGAACGACCTTGCCTTGGTACTTCGTACCAAATATTCCGAAGTATGACGTGTCATACTCCTGAAGTGTGAAGTGTCACACTTCATGTAACCAGGGTACACTTAGGGCTACGTACCCCGTTACGCTGAACATACATGTAGCAATAAAAAAAAAACTCGGAGGTCACAAAGGAGATATTATACCCAAAGATATGAGCCTGCGCGGTGCTCCTACAAATGAAATTGCACTGATAGAGTTATTGTGACTAAAATGCAAGCACTGCAAAAATTAAGATGAAAGGCATTAAAATTGTGAAGATGCACTATTCTCACGAGACAACAATTCAAAACTACATACTTGCACAAGAATACTAATAAACAAAATAAACGTTGAGATAGTGGTAGTGAAAGAAACGACACTGGATAAACCGCTGAAAAAACGCAAATAAAGAGAAAAAAAAACTGAGTTTGACACAGTGATCAGATTGATCGACTCCAAGAACACAAAAAGCTCTCTATATAGCGCGCTCATTCTCGTAGTCGATAAGACGCTGGATCAGATCCTTCTTCTGGCCCTGTGTAGACAGGTCGCGCTCCTTGAGTTTCTCCTTAAGAAGCGCCGGCTTCAGGGCCTTAATCGCACGCGCGTCCAAAGGCTCATCTACAAAAAAGTTAAAAAGTAAATTATAAACACACATATCCCGACTTTACAGCATAAGAGTCAGCTTACCATCGTCCTTAACCTGCACTTTTTTCTTGGCTTTTTCGCGTTCGGCGGCAGCTGTACCCATACAAAAAAAACAATCAGTTTCTACAAAACTCCTACATTTTACTGCAAATATTTCAGTTTCCTTACCAGCCTCCTCCTCCTTCTTGCGCTGATCGGCCTCCTCGCGACGACGCTTAACCTCCGCCAGCCTGGCCAGGTCCTTCTTCGCCTCATCCGTCTCGCCAGCCAGGTGCTTCTTCAAGTAATAGGCGGCGGATCGCTCCTTCTCAATAGCCTCACGCTCTCGTCGACTGAGCTGCTGTGGTGCAGCATTTTCGTCCATGTCCTTGGCCTTCATGACCTTATTGGCTTTCTTTTTCGAGTTGGGGTTCTGCGTCTTGGCGATCGCAGCGAAGCCCACCTTCTTCTTCTCCTGTTGCAGTGCCGGGCCGTCGGCCTTGTTGCTAAAGCCGAACAGCGAGTTGGTCTGTACGCGCTCGAAGGCCACAAGCTCCTCTCCGTCCTCGTCCGAGTCGCTCTCGTCCTCCGAATCGCTTCCTTCCTCATCGTCGCCACGGACCTTACGCTTCTGCTCCTCCTGCTCGTCACGCAGCGTCATCTCCTCCAACGACGTCACGAACTTGCGGGCCGCACCCTTCTCGCGTTTCTTACGGCCCTTGCCGGCCGCGCCGGGCTTGCCTCCAGACTTGCCCGTATCACGCATGATACAGGATAATTTACAGCTTTAAAGTTTAGACTGGTGGTGTTGGCTTCCTCTGAAGGTGGCTGCACTACCAGAACGAGGTTTTTCGTACAAGAACGGAGAATCTCTCTACAACAGCAAATAGCCTCGATTAAATGCTCTACCAAAAGCTTTTGAGGACCTTCACTCCTTCAGTTTTTAACACCAGAAGCTTTAACCATGACGACGGTAGGCTACGGATCATCCGTCGGCCGATCCTTCTCACTATGCGCACTAATATTTGGATACTCTCGCTAGATATGCATCGGAGGGTTCTGCATCCCAGTGTATGCGCTGCTGCCGTTTGCACTCATGATGCTGCAGGGATTCTGGAACTGGTTCCGCAAAAATGTCCTCGGCCAAGAAAATGAAACGATCCCCGAGAATGTAGGTCTTTTGCGGTTGCCATAACCCATTTATTTACTGACAATTGTTGCCTATAGAGCCGTGTGATCCACGTGACGTCGGAGCAACAGTTCCAGGAGCTCATTGGCAAGGGCAAGTCGACCAAGCGCTCGGTGGTCGTGGACTTCTCGGCCACGTGGTGCGGTCCGTGTCGCCACATTAGCCCCGTATACCACGAACTCAGCGCCAAATATCCATGCACAATCTTCCTCAAAGTGGACGTGGATGAACTAAAACCCGTGTCCAGAGGCTGCGGCGTGACGGCCATGCCCACGTTCCAATTCTTCCGTAGCGGCGTCAAGTGCGACGAGATGCGTGGAGCGGACAGGAACGGACTGGAGACACTTATCCAGAAACATTACGTGGAAGTGGAGTTGCCGGAGAACGAAAAGTCGATTGTTGCCTCTGAAGAGAAGACTTCGGATGAAGGTCTACGTCAACGTAAGCCACAGGTGACAAATGTGACGTCGGAGGAACAATGGGAGAATTTGATGCAGCAAAATCAAGAGTCAAACAAGGCGGTGCGTGTGGTGCATTTAGTGTTGTGATATCTTTTTGTAGCCATTCTGATAGTGTGTCTTTTAGTTGGTGGTGGACTTCTGGGCCACGTGGTGCAAGCCGTGTGTGGAGATCGCCCCGTTCTTCGAGGAGTTGAGTGCTCGCTTCCCCTCTGCTGTGTTCGCACGTGTAGATGTGGACGAGCTCGAGGTAAGAGAACCTACGCTTGAGGCAAGGATGTAGCTTGCGCGGTGTGTCTGTGGCATTAACAATGCACTTGTTGCTGTTTGCAGAGTGTGGCCGAGGATTTCAATGTGTCGTCGTTGCCTAGTTTCAAGGTGTTCAAGGGCGGCAAGGTAGTCGACGAACTCAGCGGAGCCATCAGGAGTGCTCTGGAAAGCATGATTGCCAAGCACGCCAAGAACTAAGCAAACAATGAAGAGCGTTTGACGCACAACCGAGAGCGAGATTTTTTCCAATTCCGCATCTTTGCCCATGGGGTGGGGCACACCAAAATCTGATTTTTGCTAAAGCTTATTAATACGATGTCGCAAGGCTGCTGGGGCTGGTTCCTGCGCAGCGTGCTGCGCCAAGACGGCGAGTACGTCCCCATCAATGTGCGTGGCTACCTTAAGGCTTACGTCTACCAGTATCTTCCATCATTGCGCGCCATGTTCTGCTTCTAACCGCTCCTGGTAGAGCCTTGTGATCCATGTGACATCGGAGCACCGGTTTAAAGAGCTTCTTGACACAACCAAGCGCTCGGTGGTCGTTAATTTCTCGGCCTCTTGGTGTGGTCCGTGTCGATACATAAGTCCTGCCTTCCACGAGCTCAGTATCAAATATCCAGACACGATCTTCCTTAAAGTGGATGTGGATGAACTCAAGACGGTCGCAAAGAGCTGCGGCGTGGCGAGTATGCCCACGTTCCAGTTCTTCCGCGACAGCGTCAAGCGCGACGAGATGCGTGGAGCGGACAGGAACGAGCTGGAGGCGCGTATCCAGAGACACAGCTTGGACGAGGTCGAGACCCTGATTGCCAACGGCAAGACGCCGTCGGAAGGTTTGCGGCAGCGCAAGCCCCACGTTGTGTCCGTGACGTCGGACACGCAATGGCAACAACTTCTCCAGAAGAACCGGGAGTCCAATAAACTGGTGCGTGCAATTTAGGGGATATCAGTCTGAAAAAGTTTTCACGAGTACAGTAAACGAAACTCGCTGAATTGTGTGGTGGTGCCGCGGAACATTTTGTACCGTACTATATAATACGGCGCGCCTGGTGTTACATGTAGTTCCTGACCATGTTTGCCTCGGTGTTGCCTTCATCCAGTTGGTGGTGGACTTCTGGGCCACGTGGTGTAAGCCGTGCGTGGAGATCGCCCCGTTCTTCGAGGAGCTGAGCGGTCAATTCCCCGCAGCTGTGTTCACACGCGTGGATATTGACGAAGTCGAGGTAAGACATTCTTGTCCTCGCAGCGAAGCAAATTACGTGCATCGTGTCTCTTTAGCGTTTTTTTTTGCCGGAATGATGGTACAGTACCATGTTCAGTACGAGTGGGCTAATCGAGATGATGTGATACTTGTTGCGTTTTGCAACTTGGCAGAGCTTGACCGAGGAGTTCGACGTGTCTTCGCTGCCTTGCTTTAAGGTATTTAAGGACGGCAAGGCGGTGGACGAGCTGGATGGGGCCATCCGCAGCGCTCTGGAGGGCATGGTGGCCAGGCACTACGGCGCTGCCACGGCCTGCTGACTTCAGGTCAGTGGCCTTTGCGCATGGACGACGTACTGTACCGGTAGAATTACACGACTGACCGAAGCAATGTCTCATACTTCTATATTACATGTACTGTACATGTACTACATGCAATTCCCATTCACTTTTTTCATCGTCTTCAACATGCACATTTACTACATGTAAATGATTTAGGGGAAAGCCCACTCGGCGATGAGCCGAAGCCAGCCAGCCATTTGCCGCCATTGGACCTCGTGCCATCATCGCCGACGTCGACGCTGTACCTCTTCACCGACATGGCTGCACCTTTGCAGGCAGCATTCAAGTTGCTGAAGGTGTCGCTGATTTGCCCGTGCCCTCTCAAAGTTTGAGTCAAACGAGCAGACACTTCGGTAAAACCCGGGCAGTGGTGTCCGTGCTCTCCTCGGAGTTTATGACATTTGGACCAAGCCTTGGCCCTGCGTTTTCGCAGTGGAGCAATCAAAGGGCACTTGCCAAGTTCATGTGTTTCGTCAACAAGTGCTCTTTTTAAAAAGAGTTAAAGCACTCAACCACCACTTTCAAACTCGATCGAGTTTCTTTGCACACTCGCTGTAGCTCGCACCAAAAAAATTACATGTATTATTTACATTTAATTCAGACATCCTTGACAAATTGGAAAACCGATACTGCGCTCGGTGCACAAGTTGTGTGTTCACTTTGAAGTGCCCCCCCCCATTCTTTCTACATAATGATAACGCTGTGTCGCCGGCCGACTCAGCACCATACACGTGCGATTCTTCTTCAAGCGTGTTTACACATTACTGTAGCTAAAATATGTACCGCAGATAAACATATCTAAGCTTACAAGGCAAATGCCTCGTACGATAAGCTGCTTGGTGGATATCCATTGCGATACCGATGGATATTCTGTGCATGACCGTGTTGGAGTGCAACTTGGACAGCTCGCTGGCGAATTTGTCAGTCGATTCGTTGTGACTGACAAAACGATTAAGGAGGGCTCCGTCGAACGAAGAAGGAAGCTACCGGTACATGTGCTCCACAATTTGGGACTGGAATTGGGCAACTTGGGAACAAACTACCTTACCAATTTTCGAGGGAGTTTGGTAATCACGACGCCCGTCCCCGTCCTTCTTTCCCGCGAACGAGGACCACTCAGTCAAGCTTCTCTCCTCGAACAGCGAAGCCTCTCCTCGAACAGCGAAGCGGGCCGACTCGGCCCCCGAGCTCCCGCGTGGGCCCACCTCACAAATCGTGGAGTCACAACAAGGACCACAATTGGCAACCTATATGCATTGTCTTTAATATCCATAGCATAAATTAATTCTGTATAAAACGCTAATTCTGCCGATACTTTTCCAGCCTGGTTAATCAGCCACTCATGCGATCTTCGTCGGCGAGATGCGACCCAATTCTTTGTGACTTCGCTTGAAGCTCTGGTTGTCTTCAGTACCGGTTCGTGTCACTGTGAGCTGTCCCGCGATTCTTGGTTGATGGGTACATGGCGGCTAGCAAAAGAAAAGATCTCGGAGCTCTGAAATGGCTGCTCAACCCAGCTGCGTCCACCTTTGCTGTGCAGCGCGGCAATCCATTGATGGGGGTCCCCATAATCCATTGGTGCTGGCCAGCTTGTTGTTGGCTCCATTAGTACGCCCACACATGGGCGTTCCCAACACATAGGGTTTGATTATGGCTATAGTTATCCCGCAATCGGCCAAATCGATGACGGCTACGACGAAACCCCGTACAGTCGGTCGTTTTAGACCTATCTACTTGAGTAGGGTATCTAGTCTGATAGATAAATTGATCGTTACTGCACCTTTGTATTCAATCCGCGCCAAATGTAGCCACTGGCCGTCTTTGCGCCGCATGTATTTATAAAAAGCTCCTTGATTCCCATTGGGCGGGTTTTAAAAATGGTTGTGCCTAGTTCTCACTTCTGTTTTTAGCCAGGCACCGCCAAGGACCGAGGAAGGACGTCTCCGCCAGCCAACATCTCGACTTGGAAGCTACGAGCAGCTCCCACAGCCTCAGACTTATTTACACACAGAGACTGTCAGCGCTACTACCAACATGCAGCTCCTGCGCCAGCTCGTACTACTGGCCGTCATGGCCGTCTCGACCACTGCCACTGCCAAGGTTGCCCCAGACGCCGCCGTGGACGCCGAGCAGTCGCAGCCTCGTACTAACCTGCGTGGCCTCCTGAACAAGATTGTCAGCAACGACCCCACTCAGGCGCCTGTACGTGTGCTCGCCGCCACTTGGGAGGACGGCAACGTGGGCGACGCCCGTAAACTACGCCGCATCTCGGAGAAAATAGTGGGTGGTGAGACGGTGGTTATGTTTAATGACCGTCGCTTAAGCATCGCGGACGAAATGGAGTCGGCCGTAGTGAACTTTGACGTGCGCTCCAACCCGAACTGCGTTGTCAGCGTCTGTGGTGAGATGTCCAAGTGGTACTTGGGCTCGAAGGAACAGTGCTTTGACCTGCGCATCGCCCCCAAATCCGCGGATCAGCTGGAGAACGGTCTGATCCGTGGTGTCTCGGCTGCCTACTCTGGCTTGCGGCCAGTGGCCACCAACTTGTACCTGAAGTTCGACGAAACCAACTTCATCGACGGCTCCAAGTGCGAGTACGAAATCCTTTCCGGCAGCAAGACGGTGCGCGAGGAGGAGATTGCTCGCGGCTCGCAGGCCGCCATGGCATAGGCCAGTCACACAGCCTTCTCTTAGTGTAAAGAGCTGTACAATAGGATAGACCCCCCCCCACTATTATTAACATGAAAAGCTTGGCAGCATTTTGCAACTTCGTTTGTTGTCTCTTGTCATCTCAACGATTGGTTTAATGGGTACAACAGCCGATTTGCCAAAGAATAATTAGGCCTGGACCCTGCAAGGGACACCCAAGCGCCTTGCTCAGCGTTAAGGAAGGAGCTCACATGGCAGCTTAGCCATTGAGTTCACCCATTCCAAGCTCTCTGGTGCTGGCGCACATACTATTAATACATGGGCTACTACGTAGTACATGTACATGAACTGTAGTAAGCATTGAATCGTGCGGCAGATGTTGCGAGCAGGTTGAGTTACTGTGTTCAGCAGTCACGTGACAAAACTGAAGCGGGTTTGTCGAAACGTCGAAACCATTTGGGCCTACAAGTTCGAGCAACGCAGGACGAGAAACGTTTACTTCGTTGCACGACAATGATCATGCCACTACCGAGTCGGCAGTGCTCACGCCAAAAACGGATCGACGACTGGCCTTCATGGGCCGAGGCGTCGTCGATACGTTTTGGCGTCGGCTGTGCCCAGGATCACTGGCACGACAGGCCAGAATGAATGGATGATCTCATGCTGTCTGACGCTACGTGAACCTGCTTGACAAATTTCAGAGCCCTACCGGCGAAGAGGAGTGTGGGTTTTGGCAAAACTATTAGCTGTGCTTAGGCACTCGATATCAGAGCCACATTGTTAGACTCGAGAAGAATTTGCCTTGAATTCCCAGGCTGTGACATGGCTTCGAGCCACATTTATATTTGCTGCTGAACCATATTTTCTTCTAACTTACGTGTAGCGTTAGCAACCAAACACAGGCTTCCGCTGCATCGGATGTCCCCTCTTCTCTGATGGAAGAGCCGCTCAAGAAAACCAGTACATTACGGAGTGAAAAAACTACATGCATTATTGTTCTATCATAAATGAAGGAAATACTTATAAGAAAAGTTAGAGAAGACTATCCAGAAGACACTTGCTGGGCTTCTGTACACAGTTCCCTGGCATCCATACTAACTGCACCGGATTGGTAACTTAATGTTACCATTTAATGAAGTTAGTAGATTGGCAACAAAAGTACTGAAGTAAAATACATTAGTTAAACAGCCAAAGAGCTTCCACTTATTAAAAACAGTTCTTCACTCATTTTAAGCAAGATTATCTGATAAATACGACTTAAATACGTGCTTTAAATTGAACTCACCTTAAAATAATTTGAGATAAGTGAGCTCCGACTCGTCTTTACTAACGGTTAGGGCAAATTTCGATCGAAAGCGCGGAAGCCTCAGACGTTACTTTACATTTCGCTATTGCGTCTCTCCAGCTGGCAGATAATAACCTACGGGGATGAAGAGCAACCTACGCTGCGGCCAGCAGCATGACCGAATGATCTGTCTAACGCTGCGATCACTGCAGTTCGCTACGTGTGTGGCGGCGTTGGCGCTTGTGGCCGCGAGCTTCGAGCCGAAGAAGATGACCTTCCAGACGAACGGCGGCGACTCGCAAGAGGTGACCGTCTACTACGGCGGGCCTGCTGTTAACTTCGTTATGATCGTTTCCTTCGCTGCCTGTCTCTACGACGCGTTCTTCTTAGTCATGGTATTTACGCTGCGCTGCGCCAAAATGCCGGCGCCCTGGAGCTTCGGCGTCGACGCCATCTTCACGATGCTTTTCATGAGCGCCGGCTGCGCGCTGGCCGCCTGCGACTACGTTCGCTACTGCGACGCGCTGGACGGCATCGTCCACTGTGCGCTGTTGGCATCTGGTGCCGCTCTGTGCTTCATGGCCTTCGTGGTCTTCCTGCTCAGCGTGGCCTGGGGCGCTTGGATGCGCAACACGTGGATTAAGCCCAGAAAGAAAGACCCACGCGGACATGTAACGTCTGTACGAAGTGGCCAGCCTAGCGACCCCGTGCTGGGTGACATCGAGCTTGATCTTGAGCGGGCCAACACATACGAGTCCAGCACGTATGTACAGGACGGCTTCAGACGACCATAATTACCCCGCGAGAGAGACAACTGAATAGGACTGAAGTGTGTAAATATGACTCTTTGGAGGGGAAAAGGAGAAAGCAGTTGGACGCCTCTCCCGCGTTAATAGACGCAAGTTAGGGACGTAAAGGAGCATAATATAATACCAGGAAACTGCTTTAACAATACATATCTCTGCCAAGGAGAACTTCTCCATCTTGCCTGCCAGGAACCCTGGAGGGATGCAGAGAGAAGGTCGGTCGTCACTCGATGACCAAGACCTCAGTGTACTACGTCACGTCAAACACTTGTGCGTAGGGGTCCCACTGCAAACCACGCGTGATTCGCGGTGAGCGACATCGACGGCACTTTTAAAAGCATTAAGCCAAACTAATTAACATGAGCATTTATTTTACAGTTAACCCTTTCGTTTCCATAAAAATACATAGAGTATGATTTAGCAAAAGTGGGTGGGTCTCTTAAATTATCCGTCCTGGTTTTGTCAAATAGACTAATCGTTTATTGTATTAAATAACGTATTACACCGTATTTTGATATATGAAATTCTCTGAGACGGTGGCAACCCAACTGTCGCAAGCACCAATATCTACCACTTAGAACGCAAGCGTAGTCTAAATTTCACCTCAAATTTTATTGTGTCGCTTACGTTACGGTGTTGTGTGGCACACCGAAGAATGCACTCGAAGCCCTCGACGAGGGGGGAGGGATACATACTAGCGGAAGCGCTCTATAGTGATTTCAGCAAAGAAAATCATTTGTTGGCGTCTAACATCTAAAAGATAGGGTAAAGATTCCCCGAGGCTGCCCTCATTACGGAACCGAGACCGAGACGTCGATGGATGGAAACACTGACTGAGGATACCGACATACGGGTCGACGATCACGTAGCGGTGGCACGTGCACCCGCGGATAGGGCGAGTACTGCGACCCAGGCGATGAATACGAGTGCGTTGTCGGTTCCGGAGGGGCAGCAACAGACGAACGAGGTGCTTTTTGTCCATGACCCGCCGGAGATGACGACCGTCAACACCACCGTCATCGACAGCAAGCTGGGACTCACGATAACAACAATCGACGGCCACACCACACGACGGAGGTGGCCATGGCGCCAACCTTGGACGGCAAGACGGATCTAGAGGCGTACGGCATTTAAATCTATGTGACGACGACATAAGATGCTAATGTCACAGTGAAATCAAGAAGAACAAGATCAAAGTCGATGGAAGCGTCGTGCAATGTGTGAATATACTGCGTATGGCAGTAAATGCAGGAATCCAACCCAAACGGAAGATTACTGCGAAAAGCACAACGTTACTTTGTGCGAAAGCACCTACCCACTCGATACATCCAGCCACATCTTTGTCAAGAAGCGTCATGGTCATGCTGGCAGAAGTACCATGGATATTATCTGCCTAATCTGGTCTACAATCTCGAAGGTCATCTCATGCGAAGCTCTTCGATATACAAAATGCAGGCACCTTTCCTCCGATCAAAGGCAAGCAAGAGGACTACGCGTTAGGCTCACGTGGCTCACGTGACCGCTGGTCACTAGTTCCGGTGTCGCATCGGTACAGCAATTTGATTATATGAAAAAAAATGAGAAGTGGATTTATAGATACTTGGTTGGTGCAGATTTTTGTAAGCAAAACTACCCACACTACACTGCAAGCTTGAGGACAAACCACGCTCCGGTAGCTCTCAACGTGAAGATATTATTGCGTCAGATGTCCATATGGCCGGTTGCGAGTCATCGTGAACTGCATTTTCTCCCAGACCATCGGCGAGGTGCAAGTGGCTGCTGGTGGGACGAATTTGCATTAGTCAAGGTGGCCAACGACTAGCAAAGAGGCTACATCCTCTCGCACTGTTCCGTGCCTGCCGACAAGATGAATTGGCGTTTGACGAGCAGCGTGTGTAGCAGTCGCTGCAGGTCCAACACAATGGACATCAGTCGGAAATTCGCAGTCTAATCACCAGCACACACCGTGTACAAACCGTCGTAGTAGCTACCGCGCATGATTGTTGTTGCCGCTGACGCTTCGTGTTCACATCGGTTAGGGAATGCAGCGGCCCAGTGTAGCAACGGTATGGCTCCAAACGGGCAGCATGTATGACTGACGTTCGGCGCCCATGTAGCGTTAGCATCGTACAGCGTGCGGACCGGCGTGGCGACAGCGACTTGTCGGCGTTAGCATCTTATGTGTGGACCAGCGTGACGACAGCATGGGAATCGAGCAGCATTTCCACCAGAGATTTCGGTGGTGTCAGGCAGCGTGCAATGGTAGTGACATCGGTCAGTGTCAGGCGGCGGGTGGGTTAGCAGAGATGGGTGGGGGCAGTCGGTATGAACCCGAGTGTTCACAAGAAAGGAAATTGCGGAATGAGACTCGTTGGGGCTTGGCGCGCGCTCGACGCCCCCGCACGCGAGTTTGAATCGTTGACCCTCCAAAGCGGCTTGTTTCGCGCCAAAACATTGCGAGCTTCAATGTTGAAGTCACGTTTTCGCCGATGTCCTCGGTTTGACCAATCAAATAGCATTCCGATGATTCCAGCAGTCTGATTGGCTAGCAAAGTGATCTTTAATATACGCGTATGGCTACCTATTTCGATTATGTGCCTGGCGTACTTTGATTTACTCGCAATACTCGCTTCGTCCACAGCCACATCTCGCCCCGGAATAACGTGACGGCAGCATCTTATTTTCAAAATTGTTATCAGAGGACGTATACTTGCTGCAGGATCACTCGACAGCTCCTCAGCACTTGTACGAGGGCGAAACGATAAAATTTTTCTAATGTATAGATACCTTTTCCAGCTCATAACAGTAGCCAAACTTGTCGACGATTGTCCAGGAAAAATATTTGAGTCTTCATTGTCAAACCAATAATTTCGCATCTCGCCCTTGTCGACAAGTGTCATGTACCACTGAATCCCAAGAAATATCATCAATTCTTCCAGTTCAATAGGTGCTCCAAGTTGACCAGAGGTTTCTGCAGCACGACCGTTTGAAAAAGTCACCACTTGTTTCCAAAACGAAATAGGGATAAACGCAAAGAAACTCGAGCTTGCACTTTTTCCAAAAAGATGTTTACTTTCTTCGCGTAATTTTGTGGTTGTAGACCCATCGGGGTGAGCAAACAGGCCTGGTACTTCGTCAAGCGAAGCCGTAGGTGAGAATGTCATACCTTGGATAAGCTCGACTTCTGCTGGACACAAATCAATTTGAAGCTCTTTCTGGCTTCGAAAGACCGACCACTCACGATATTCACTTTCTTGTACTTCGTCAAATTCATCTGTAAGTTGAGGTATGTTCGTATACTTTGGCACCATACTGCAAAGCGCACTCCAAGATTCACCAAATTCAGCACTGTTCTGATGTATAGCCACGTAGTGTTTTACGCCGCGACATACGACATCTTCTTCGATCTGATATGTGATGTTTTGTTTGAAAAGCGGTATTTGTCCATCGTACTTCAAACGACAAGGTTGGCACAGCCACACCATCACCATTTTTTTTATTTTCAAGGATGTGACGAGTCACTACGCCAATCAGATAAGTTGAGCCGACATCGCTATAATATTTGCGCCCCATCCAGGTTTCCTCAGCTGGCGAAAACGCCACACTGGCTCCAACGTATCTGTTTGCGGTAGCTTCCGCCCGTATTGCGAGTTCTTTACGAAATGCAGTAGCATTTGCGTTTGAAATTTTTTGTTTTCCTTTCGATTGCGAGCGTTCAGCTGATTTTGAGTTCTTTCGAGTACTGCTAACTCGTGATTTTGCGTTCTCTTCAGTTGCTGTTCGTGGTTGGTCTGTCTTACGAGTTGCTGATTTCGGCTTGCGTTTAACTGGTAGTAGAGGTGGCGGGTTTGACTTGGCTTCACTCGTTCGTATTAGTACTCCTTCCGACTGTGATTGTCCTTGGAGGTGGATATCACTGTGCGATGTAGCAACACTCGACGTAGTTACTCCCGAAACCAACCCAGTTGTACCCCCCTGGTTTTGCCCACTCATGTTCATCACGACCGGTGCTGCTTTTTCTCGATAGCACTGCTTACTGCAGAACGAAGCGTCTCCAAAATCCAGTATCTGCTGTCCGTCCGGGTCGTACAGCTCAAGTGCTGCACAAACATCATGAGAGCAAAAATGATGCATAAATGCACCACACGTCGTGCACGACCGCTGGGTCGAGCACGGTGATTCACAAACTGGACATATTGGAGTCGAAACAGTAGACTTTGTACGTGATTGCTGAGGTTCATCGACAGTAGACGTATGAACACATATTTGTTCATCCACGACACCAATAGTAGCTTTTGGTATCGTGTGAGCCACAGGATTACCATCTAGCTGTCTAGTGCGTCTGTCGTCGTCCTTGTCACAAGTATCCAAACTTATATCTCCTTGCTCAGGTATTGAAGCAACATTTCCAGCTGTAGCACCAACTTGTAGGGCATCAAGCTCATCAATCGCACTGCTCTTCGTACCTACATTAGCACTATGCAATACTCCGACCGAGTTACCAGTTTTCACGTAAGGTGCTTCATCTGCATACGCACTGTTGAAGTACCCAACAAGTGCTTCTTCCCCCAAGAAATAGTCTTGACCATTTATTCCATTTGGGTTGCCTCCAGGACGAACGTAGCGATAGCGCAAATCCAAACTTCTACTCGACGAGGGTTTATAGGACCATCCCACACGGCGTAACACTTTCCAAACGTCCTTGAAATTCACAGAATTATCTGTTGCATAAAATAAGAAACAAACATGTTATCACCTGCTACCCGTAGTCTATAGTCTAGTGACTATACAAGTGCCACACCTCGAGAAAGCTGTGGTGTGCTGCTGGCTTGAGACCTGCGCTGACGCTTTGAAGCCCGCTCAGCCATCTCTGCGCTCAGTTCCTAACTCCTCTCGCTCGCAGCTTTTCAGAAGTGAGGTCCAAATTGGACCTCCGAGATCCACTCTGCCTCCATGGAGCATCGCCACCTTTTTCCACTGTGGCAAGGCTGTCATTCACGGTACTGCACCTTGTGCCAATGTTGGGATAGAAGGAGGATTTTCGTGTGTTTTCGACGAATCATCAGTGCCGTCAATTATTTTCAGCAAATCATATTGCAGCAATCTGAACCATACATTATGTACTGTTTTGATCAAACCCTCTCAAATGCGATTAATAAGCTCGCAAACCCCTTCGCAATTGATATACTAAAACCCTACATGATGTACGGGTTTGAAAGTTTAACTTGATTAAAGTATGTAAGGCTTAATATAGAAATGAATGGGGTGACGAAAGGGTTAATTGGTGAGTTTTGGCCTTGCTTTGGCCTTTTACAAAACTCATCGACAAAATGAATGTAACGTTAGGATAAAACAGCAAATGGCTACATTCATGTGTTCCAGCCATCCGTCGGCCAATCAACGCCGCACAAACATTAGAAGTTCGAAGATCAACATGCCGGTGCTGACGACCAACACTAGCGGGGCTGCGCCACCCGTAGTGGGCGTGCTAGGTGGCGGTCAGCTCGGCCGCATGATGGCCAATGCAGCTCACCGCCTCGGCCTGCAGGTGTTGGTGCTGGATCCGCTGGGCGCCGATTCCCCGGCTGGCCAAACGGGTCTTAAGGCCGTGGCCGGCAGCTTCACCAAGGAGGAGGACATTGCCAAACTGGCCGAGCAGTGCGACGTTCTCACGGTGGAAATTGAGCACGTGAATGCTGCCTTCTTGCAAAAGTTGCAGGACAAGAAGGAGGCCAACCTGCAGGGTGTACACCCGGCGCCGGCCACCATTGCCCTTATCCAGGACAAGTACCAGCAGAAGCAGTTCTTCACACAGGTGCAAGGCGTCGATGTGGCCCCGTACGAGATCGTCACTTCTCTGCAGGCCGCTCGCCAGGTGGGCGAAAGGTTCGGCTACCCTTACATGCTCAAGTCGCGTCGCTTCGCTTATGACGGCAAGGGCAACGCTGTGGTCAAGAGCGAGAAGGACCTCGTAGAGGCCTTCGAGAAGCTCGGAGCTAAGTTGCTGGCCAAGGACGATGCCGGTGTAGACTTGAAGGAGTTGGCCGAGGAAGAGGCCAAGCTGTATGCTGAGAAATGGGTGCCGTTCGTCAAGGAGCTGGCCGTGATGGTCGTCAAGGGTGCCGAGGGCGACGTCCGCGCCTACCCCGTCGTGGAGACCACCCAGCGTGACAGCATTTGTGACACAGTGCTGGCCCCGGCCCAGATCCCTGAGGAAGTGGCCAAGCGTGCCGGCGAGATGGCCGAGACTGCTGTTGCTCAGCTGGATGGCCGCGGCATCTACGGCGTGGAACTGTTCTTGACTGCTACTGGCGAGGTGCTGCTGAATGAGATTGCCCCACGCCCGCACAACTCGGGCCACTACACGATCGAGGCCTGTGAAACGGACCAGTTCGAACAGCATCTGCGGGCCATCACCGGCCTGCCACTTGGTAGCTGTGCGCTGCGTGTGCCGGCCGCTCTCATGGTGAACGTGCTCGGCGACGCTTCGTCGTCCGAAGACGTGAGCTTCTCGCTGCTCCGTGACAGTCTGAAAGTGCCTGGTGCCGCCGCTCACTTCTACGGTAAGGCCGGTGTGCGTCCGGGCCGCAAGCTCGGCCACGTGACTATCACGGCGCCGAGCCTCTCGGAGCTCACCAAGCGTGCTACGGCCCTGTCCCCGGACGCGGCCAAGAACGCTGGCCTGACCAAGCACGAGCGTACGCCACTTGTTGGCATTGTTATGGGCTCGGACTCGGATTTGCCCAGCATGGCCGCTGCGGCCGACATGCTGGAGAAGTTTGACGTGCCTTACGAGCTTACCATCGTGTCGGCCCACCGCACACCCGCCCGTATGTACGAATACGCGCAGAATGCGGCGGGCCGTGGCCTCAAAGTCATCATTGCCGGTGCCGGTGGTGCTGCCCACCTGCCCGGCATGATCGCTGCCCTAACGCCGTTGCCGGTTGTCGGTGTCCCTGTCAAGACGTCGACACTTAACGGTGAGGACTCACTGCTCAGCATTGTGCAGATGCCACGCGGTGTGCCGGTGGCCACTGTGGCCATCGGCAACTCGACGAACGCCGGTCTGTTGGCCGTCCGTATCCTCGGTGCCGGGGACTCGTCACTCCTCGACGCGATGGTAACGTTCCTGGACACGCAGAAGTGTGAGGTGGACGACAAGATCGAGAAGATGGCCGCCCATGGCTGGAAGGAATACCTCCAGAACATGAAGAAGCAGTAGAGATAAACTTGAAACAAGCAGAGAGGTTTTCTGTATTTGCGGTGGCCGTTTGGCCAGCCTTTCTCCTGTCTTCTTCTATCTATTTGTTCTTCTTGAGTTTGAGACTCTTAAGCTGGTTCTTCAGTGTCTTTGGGGTCTGTTTGTTCGGTCGCACAACGGGCTGTTCTACCTCCGTGCCGTGGGCCGCCACGTTGCGCCAGTAGATGAGACCGGCCAAGCTCACAGCGAACATGGTGAAGCTCAAGAACCAGATCAGGAAGCCCAGCGCTGCGTCGTAGAACTCGGCCGTGAGGATGGGGAACTGGCCCATACCCCGCAAGAAGGGCGTCACGTTCTCCTTGGTCAGCTCGTCGCCCAGTCGAAATCCGCCGAGGTTGGGCGGCGCGGTAGGGTCGGGTAGGATATTCAGCGTGGCAGCGTCAGACGCGAGGCCAGCGGGGAGCGACACGTTGGCCACGCGCTGTAAAGCCCACGAAGTGGCCTTGGACACACCCAGAGAGATGGCCGTTTGCTTCATCAATAGCTGGGCCGACGCCAGGAGCGCACATACAGGCGCCAAATACTGCAGCGCGATGATCGGCACGTAGTTGAACTGCAGACGCACCTTGTTCTGCAGTAACGCGCCGTCTACCAAGCCCGGCCGACCCACAAGTGAGGCCATGACTTCACGAGGCTCTAAAAGGAAGTACTGGAGATGTGTACGGAAGCAGATCAAGCGTACAAGACAGGCCACGAACACGACGTAGATGCGCAGCGTGTGGAACTGCGACTCGGTGAGACTGTACCATTTCCAGACGTCGGACGACGTGTTGGCCAGGCCGAGCACGTCGCTCTGTAGACAATCGCGGGCCAATGCACGTGGAGAGCACTTGACCAGTTCGGACGGGACTAATACGTTACTAGACAGACGCGGCACCCACAGCGCACTGATGAGCACGGGGAAGAGCATGTTAAGGTGCAGGAAGAGCTTCATCACGGCCGACGTCTGCTTGTCCTTGATCATCTCCGAGTACATGCGTGCGAACCGAAATGATGGTAGGAATGTCGTGCAGGTGAAGATGCCCGCGAGTAGCGCAAACGTGAAGAACAGAGAGATGCGGGCCAGCTCGGCCAGCAGCTCGATGTTGACGAAGTCTGCGTCCACGAAGCCCACGGCGCGGAGCACCATCTCCATACGCTGGCCGGCCAATTGGGCGGCCAGTTCCAGATCGAAGTCGAACATGCCCTTGGGCGACAGGATGATGAAGCCGGACAGAATGAGGCCGATAAACCCGACGGCCAGGCCCAAGCGGGCCTCGTAGCCGGCCAAACCTTGGGCGAAGTTGAGCTGCAAGGGGAACCAGAGGGCCACAAGCATGGCCGACATGAGGCCGTACGTGGCCACGTCTACCTTGTCATCAGCGTCGTCGGCCACGGGGCTAAACCACGGAGCCGTGAAACTTACGACGCTGCCGATCCAACAGGCAACCGAGGCCGATGAGACCAACACCACTAGCATCTCGTACAGCTCGAAGAAGAGCGTCTGGCTGAAGACGCCGGGCTCCGTCTTGGCCACACGCACGTAGAACTTGTCCATCTTCTCGGCCGCGCTGAGTGGTTGGCCGGCCGGCGTCTTGCCGCTTTTGCCACCTTTGGCCAGCTGCTGGCCGTTGAGCGTCGCGATGAGCTCGTCTTCGGGCGGCAAGAAGAACGTAAGGCCATTCACCAGCCATGTGGCCAGACTGAAGTGCGAGCGAAGCCTCAGCTGCACGAAGGCCAGCAGGATGCCGGCCAGGAATTCCGGAGGGAACAATGCCATCGAGTGGATCCTACGTGGAGTGTTGACACCCAGCGATGATAGAGGAGCTACTACTGGTACAGTTGTAGACACGTCAGTCGCAGCAACGAGAGGTGTATGCCACATCATTTAATGTATCGTCCACTATCTCACTACGGCGCACAATCAAAGCCAATGGTCATGGAGGTTCGCGCTCGGCGCTTGTCGGCCACGACGGAGGACGAGCCAATGGAGCTAGCAGATGAGTCCCAGGTGGTGGTGGTGACGCCTGGCCAGGTGATTAGCACGGATACAGGTGCATTCCTGCGTGGCCACGGCACATACTTGAGCGGACGCAACGAGCTGGTGGCCAGCGTGGCCGGCGTCGTTGAGAAGGTGAACCAGCTTATCACAGTGCGGCCGCTCGTGTCTCGCTACATTGGCGAGGTGGGCGACATCGTGGTAGGCCGTGTGACGGAAGTGGCCAGCAAGCGCTGGAAGGTGGACGTGAACGGCCAGCAGGACGCCAGTCTCATGCTCAGCTCCGTGACGCTGCCGGGCGGCGCCCAGCGCCGGCGTACGTACGCCGATCAACTGCAGATGCGGGCCTTCTTCGTAGAGAACGACCTCATCTCGGCCGAGATCCAGGAGGTCCGCTACGACGGCTCACTCAGTCTGCACACGCGCAGTCTGCGCTACGGCAAGCTCGAGAACGGCCAGTTCGTGGCCGTGGCGGCCCCATTGGTAAAGAGGATGAAGCAGCACATGGCCACACTCCCAGGCATCGGCATTGACGTGATTCTCGGCACCAATGGGTACATTTGGGTGTCTAGAAGCATGGCCGAGCTCGGAGGGGACGACACGACTAGCAGCATGGAGACACGCGTGGAGGTGCTGACGGCCAAGAGACAGCAACACGCGGCCACGCCCATGAGTGTGGACGACCGCCGGAAGATCGCACGAGTCTCGCAGGCGCTACTGAAGCTAAATGAACAGTTCCGGATGATCACACCCGACAGCATCATGGCCACGTACGAACTGTTAGAAGCGCAAGGTAAATAGATAAATGAACAAGGTTGCATTACTACGAGGTTGAGGAGTACTTGATGTATTACGGGCCATGGCTAACAGGATCTTAAGACTTAAGTAAAATAGTGCAGTATCCAGAAGTCGAGCCCAGGGCGAAGTTTTTTTTCATGATTGTTTATAGTAAAGATAAAACTACTATTAACGTTAACAACTTTTTTTAATGATATTTTTAAACAGAGGGTACAGTAGCTTCGTTTTCTAAGAAAGCAAAATAATTTAAAATGCGAATTTTAAAAAGCAGTATCAAACAGTGCCTAGTGTGTTGAGCACATGTGCCGTACCAGCACCGGTTTTTGCATGCAGAGAGCGTAGTAGCTCCACTTTTCGTACGCATTTTAGAAGTGTAGCTGCAGCTATTCTTACAAATTTTTAATCGAAATAATTTATTGATCCGTTTGAGCCCAGTCTTATACTCAGAGCCGGATACTCTCATTTAGTAAGGTGGCAGCCATGACACCCAGCTAATATCTACAACGGCTATATATCTTCGGCTTTAGCGCGATCATGGAGGCGATCACGGACGAGATCGAGGTGGCCACCTGGATCATGGAGGTGGGGCTGCTGGAACCGACGATGATGTACCCTCAGTGCGCCCAGCCGTGCGGCTTAACGCACGCGAGCGCTGCTGGCGCTACTGCGAGAAGAAGCGCCACGCGAACGGGAAGCAAGAGCAGCACAGCGTCTCTATGAGCTCGTGGCTCTCTAAGATGAAACTCTTTTTACACCAATACCTACGACTCGTGTGTGCGAGCGTCACATCCCCAGGCCGCACAAATGGCCAAGGTCAGTGTCGGTCTGGTATGCAACATTCCGAGTGTTGTGCTCAAAGGAGCAGCTTTGCGGAAAGTTTAAGCTGAATTTTGTTGTTACGCTTTTAATATATGAATGCTCTCTTAAGTATGGTGCACTTTAGATTGGCGGCGAAGGACATATCGTCGAAACTGATGAAAGCCGCATTAAGAGAAGTAGAAGTATGGTCGTGGCCGCCATTACAAAGCGTTCTGGCTTGTCGGGGGGCGTTGACAGGACGACGGGTCAGTCGCATTGTGTACGACAAGCGACGCTGCGGCCCATTATTAAGCCGTTTATTAAGCCCAGGTGAGTACCGAAAACCTATGATGTTGCATTCGATATGAGCTACTAAGTTTCTTTTCTGATTACCGGGACTCGCATTCATTAAGGGAAAATACCAATTAAGGGCCGTTCAAAGCAACCTTCTCTTGTTTTGATTGTATCTTTTGATCTAGTAAAAAGTAAAATATGGCCTTGGCATCAATCAAAAGCTGACACAATTGTATATTTCCCTGGTTATTAAATTGTTTTACATCAGCTATGGTGCGTTCAGTAGGACAAATTAAAACAGTGCATAAAATGTGACGGCCATGCCAATTAAGGGCCGCTTGATTTCACTATGGGTTGCTAAATAATCTCTTATATGATACCTTAGTAGTGGCCAATGAAAATAGATAAGCCTAAAATTCCGAATTGCCTATTGGCTAACCGAATCCGGCCCTTAACTGGTCACCGGCCCCTAATTGGCATTTTACCTTAGATTAAGCTCGTCACGTACGTGAGGAGCGAGGTTCTTGTTTGCATACGCTCGTCAACAATCGCATGTTGGCGGACAGGCATTGTGAGCACAGCTGGGTCAGCCATACTCTGCTGAGCTTCGTCGATCCTGTCATGGGCATACATTCCAACGCGTTTGAAGGATTGCGGGAGATACATATTAAGCGTCACATCAAGGCAATGAGCGGGATGAGCAAGAGATACCTGGACATGATATATCGACGAGCTTATGTTGAGGTCCTGGTGTTTCTCAGCCATGTCCCCACCGGGTGAGTACATGTGTGGTCTGGTGCAGGTCACCTCAAGCAGGACGAGAACATTTGCGAAAGCGTGATCTCACTTTTTTAAATAAAGTGTTGTTTCTCTTTCCAAATGTTTAACAGAGCAAAATCCGAAAAACGGAGCTCTGTGTTGGGAGAGCCACAGGGAGCACTTGTAACTGAAGAGATATGCTTTATCGATCCCGTAAAATGCAATCCACATCCAGGCACAGGCAAAGCTGCACATCACGGCACTGATCCTGAGCGAGGAGTCACACGCGGTATAACAGAAACAAAACACCGCGAACGGATACTCAAGACTATTAGACAAGTTGCTACAGACCTGAAAAGGGCAGAGGTGAACTGATGGCTGTAAGCAAACTGCGTTTGCTCACATTTGACTTAGACTTAGTACCGGCATATTAGAGCTATGTGCAGCCTAATCTATTGACTGCGGCGAGTGGTGCTTGGCATGACGTCTCACTTGGGAACGTTACGCCTGCGGCATAAGACAGATACTTCACTGCGCCATATCATCACCTCGTCTGCCGTGGCGTTCTGCCTTGGCATTCACGTGTCTTTTATTAAGTGCCTTTTAGGGGGTACACTTATCCTACTGTACTGGAACCATCTACACTGTTACACGCTCCCAAGGAGCTCGTGCCACCCCAGTGATGCATGACGCGTCATATCAGCACTCCTCATCCATCTTTATTGTCAGCGATAGACGAGGAGAGCTGGAGCCCGCCACGCTTGAGATGCTCATGTAAGAACTTTTCAAGCTGTACAAGCTCAAATGTCGACTGAAATATCGTAGACGGCCTTCCAAGCTGCGCTTTCTACATACAGCGCTGGTCTGTGTCTTGCACTTCTACACATCTGCGTAAAACTAAAACATTCAGCGAAATCTATAGCGTCAACAATTTCTACACCATTTCCCGAGTTACCCGCAAAGTTTTCCAACCGTAGCTGAAGGGGAGGGTAAATAAAAAGGCATACCGTCAAAGCAAAAAGACTATTCCCACTTAGACCAAATTTGCCCATCCCCCATTCCAACCAAAGTGAAAGACGCCAAGCCGAAGCTGTTGCGCAAGGCCCAACAACGACTGAGGGAGAGCTACGCTAGTTTTGAGCGCCCAGGTCTGTATCTCTTACTTTTATTATTTATTTGACCCGAAACATGCTTATTGTCCCCACCCCCAAACAACGACGAGATCGCAAACTTGCCAAGCAACGTGTCGCCCGTGTCTTCCGCGAGGGAGGCGACTGGAAACTAGCAGCGATCCACAAGGATGTGTCATACCACACTGCTCGCCACGTTGTTCTCGATGGCGCTTCACCGCCAAAACCGAGAGGGGGGGGGGGGCGGGCGTCCGTCCATCAGGCGTGAAAATGACGGTTGAAGTGATGGTTAAGCTTGAGGAGTACATCATTGAAGATTGATGTGCTACTTTGTTTAACATGTGTTTTTGCTGCACATCAGCTTGGAGATGTCGTAGTGGGAAAGTCTTCGGATAACCGAGCATTACAAGGCATGTGTTACAGCACCAAAGGCTTCGCATCGAAACGTCCACCTTGAACAAACCCATTACAAAAAGAAGCGAAAGGAATTTGTTGGAAAGCTGGATGGCCATAGAGCTAAAAGCGACATTATCGTCTGTCACGACAAAACTCAGTTTAATCTCTGCTTGTCACGCTCCCAGGGCAGATCGCGTATTGGCGAGCGCTCCTTGGTGCAGCCCCCCCCATTTGCGTAGTCTTCCAGACCGATGTTGTTAGCTGGGTGCTCGGAGAAATCACCTCTTGTGTCCTCTCGCAGGGGAAACCTTGCAGGATCAAGGTGGCGTGTCGGCTTTACGGGGGGAATTCTGCTACAAACGTGTGAAGGCTCGATAACCAAGGTTGAAACGCACGCTTCATCTCTGACTATTTTATGGCTACTCTGCGGACGGAAGAGTATCGAGAACTTTCCCAGGACAACTAGATCGGACCTGGCCTGGCGGAAGCTTGTGTCAGATGGCATTTTAAACGCTAGAAAGCTGGTGATGCTGCGGCTTGGGCCGTACAGCCCGAAGATCAACCCCATTAAGGGGTGCTGGAACGTGATCAAGTCCAGAATGCGCG